TAAGATCTATAAATGTTCTGACTACCATAAAGCAACAAAAGAACCTTTTTTTCTTATTTCCAAAAACAAAGTTTGATCTATCTAGCTTAGTCAAGCTTTTTCTGACAAAGCTAGGTAAATCAAACTTTGTGCTACTGATTTTGGCAGCCGATTAGATGTCCAAATCAAATTGTAATATTTCCTTGCTTTTCGCATTTTTTTTTTTTTGATTTTAAAAAACCTGTAAAAAAATATCTTTCAATTTTAACTTATTAAATTTCTTTTTGAAGCGCTTTCTTCCTTCTAATCTTATTTTTAAATACTGTAAAAAAAATAGATTTTTGGAGCTGGTTTTTTTGACCTGTTGAGCATCAGATCAAGAGTGTTTATTTGCGCTTATCTAAGTCGTCCGTGTCTGAGTCTTTCTGTCCTTCTTTCTTTTTTTGTTAAAGAACATTTTTATGACACGTAAACGTGTTAAACTGAATAAATAAGAAAATTAATATTGTAATATCAAATAAAAATCTTATTTTTATCTTTTATTTTTAATATATATAGATTTGTAAAAAATGTTCTTATGCCCTCTTTTCACTTTCCTATCTTTTTCAATACTTCTTTCCAAAGTTGCCTTTTTTTGCTATCGTTATTGATGCTGTTGCTAATAAATAAATCTAAAAACAATTTCAAACAGTTGGCAGCATTTATATCCCATTGTAACCATCATCTGTAATTGAAAAACCAAAAAAAAACCATAATAAATAAAATAATACATATGAAAGACAGGAACAGAAACAACTAACCATAAGTGAGATTATACTTAAAAAAATTAATTAATTTGTTATAAAAGCAAAAACAATCAAAAGAAAAAAAAGTATACCCTTTTAAATACAATCCTTTTTTTTTTTCTTTGCTGAAGATATTTGAAATGTTGTTTACCGGTTGTTTATAACTGTAACTGTGAAAAAAAAAATAGAGATGAAAAATTTAAATAATTAACTGTGAAAAAAAAATAGAGATGAAAAATTTAAATAATT